AGTAGAAAATCAACATTTCCCAGAAAGCTGGAAATTCGTCGAGGAATTTCTATAAACTAGAAAATCCCCGGCGATTTTTCGGTTGATTTTCTATAAACTAGAAATTAATTCAAGATTACAGTGTACAGCTTATATCCTTGATCAGTGACCAAAGCCTGGATACTCTGTGAGTGTGTTTGAATTGGTTATCAAGATATCCTTGGAAAATAGGTCATATCCCAAAGCGTTGAAATAAATATCTATTGATTTTTTTTCGTGGAGAGAGAGTTCAGGGCATCCTATCCTGTTCAAAACGGAAATTTTCCGGCCTCTTCATTTTTGGTCGTTTAGGCATGACATCGGTTTACTAGGACATTTAAACTAGATTTTGGACGACATTTGACGCCTCAAAATACATGCAAACATAGTCCTAGACTAAATCCTGCGCAGTCCCTATATATTTCCTAATAGGGTCCTATATGATCATAATATTTAAGATTATGTTATGATTTGTTTAAGATCATAATATTTTTTCAATAATTACATTTTCTTGTTAGGACCCTCTTCGGATTCCACGAGAAACCTGCAACTTTAATTTCAATCGTAGTAGGATTCTGTTAGGATTCTAGGAAATCCAAGCGAAATCGTAGTAGGATTCTGACAGGATATGTCTAGGATCCTGTCAGGAACTTCATAAATATGTTACTAGGGAGGTTATGGGGGATTTTGAGTCTCGCGCTAATGTTTGCTTTTCGAAAACACTTCAAAAAACTAATGAAAACCTTAGGTGAAATAGCCTATTTTGGGTCATTTTCACAATTTAGTCAAAATCGATCCAGTCTGCTTCAGAGTTTCAATATGGACTCTGTTTCATTTGCATCATACTCTGGAATTCAAAAAAAAACTTTTAAAACCATTTGAAATTGTTTGAGGTTCGAAACAGTTGTCTAAAAATCTACCGAACTAAGAGACTATTTCTTACTAATCGTAAGTACAGAATCAGTTTGAGCAGATGAAATAGAGTAGATCTTGACTAGCCCAAAACAATCTTCTCTTTTGAGATTGACATATCATCGCATACATTGCTTTTGTGAACTTGTGAACAGACAATAATTTTCTCTTATAACTCATGACTGATACAGTTCCATGCTAAGAGTGGATGAATGTTTCTAACAACAGATGAACAATGTGCTTACCAAGAATGGGTGAGTAGGATGATGCGGATGATGACGTATTACTTATATTTCGTCGTTCTTTATGAATACATGGTAATTTTAGATATGTTGAACTTATCCGGCGTCTAAAAAATAGAAGATACAAATTGAAATGGATTAATAATGGTAGATCATTTATCACTGGCTCTATACCTTAATATAAACGTGAGAAACAAAGCGACTCCAATAAGTCCACTGAATGTACAAGTCAGCACAGCAACGAGTGTTGTTACACCTAGAACGATCAGCAAACATAACTTGCATTTTAGACAAAAACGCTCTCACTTTTTCAACACATCAGAGTCGTTTATTGAATCTTAGGTAAAAATTCAAGAGGGAAAAAGTATTTTGATGAAGAGAGGAGATTAGGAAGGGCGAATTCATATGGATCGTAGTTACTCCTTAATAGTTTGTTGTAGCTGCTCAGTGCAGCTGCGGAAAGTCTAAAACTATTTGCAACAAAAAATGAATTTCTTAAGTTAATGATTAGTAAAAAGTTAGTGTAGAAATTTTTGAAGTTGTATACAGAAAGTGCCTTCAATGAAATGTACTAAATTCCTAGATGCAGCACATTGCAAAAATTATATAGTCACGTACAGAAAAATTTTGTCATCTATCAAATTTTAACTTTGTACTGGCTACGACTATATCAGAAACCTGACGGCATATACCAGTATCAAAAATTCAAGATAGCATAACGTCCAGGCACTGGAAGAGATTCAAAAATTTAGAGTCAGAAGATGCCAGTGATAAATTTGGGCGAGGGACACAGTGAGCCATGAAAGAGATATTTAACAAAAAACTGAACATAAGACTTTTCAATATTTAACAAGGCAATGCTGAAGCTCACTGTTGAGACTCGACACTGCCGTAAAACATTTAGATGTAAATTGACAATTTATAGTGAGGAAAACATAATGAGTAAAATAACTTTGAAAACGTAGTTGGTTGGCTTATAACATCTATTGTCATCACTGTCTAGAACTGTAACCTCTAAATAGTTTATGCTCTAAACACAGGTCGCTCACTGGGGAAGGTCCCCTAGATTAATATCTGGGGACCTTCTGGGTACATGTTATTCCAAACATGACTCAAAAATGGTTATTTTTCTATAGCTATAATTTTTTTGATAGAAGTATGAGAAAAACTTGAAAATTGTTGTAGAACTCTTTCTCTTCGGAATAGTATGATAAAAAAATCGTCCACTAATCCAAATGTCCATTCTTAATGCTATGTTCACTGATAAAGAAATGTGCAAAGCAAAGTACTTGGTTACTGGGTGACCTTTTTAATACATCTTATATTTGCGTACGTAATAAACTTTTCATTAAATATTTCAAAAGAAAAAGAAAAAGCAGTCTCATGACAGCTACTTGCTCGAACAAAATGGATAATTTTCAAGTACCAAGGTTACCCTTATGTATCTAGAAGTCAAGTTTTTGTGCACTCGTAACTTTCAAACGAAATATCAGTTCTACAGATGCAATACATACATACTATTCTGAAGAGAAAGAGTTTATCTACAACATTTTACAAGTTTTTCCCACGCTTCTGTCAAAAATTATGGCCGTAGGAAGAATAACCATTTTGGGTCATGTTTGAAACCAAATGTACTGTCCGCTTCAATGAATGAATGGTGGCTGATAAGAATGTCAATTTCTAATCACTGTGTACGTTTAACTAAATGAAATATATACCATAAAAATCCCACACTAACGTCTGAGGACCTTCTCTTCCCAGGCAACATATTGATGAGAAAAGTTCTTCGATACCTTAAGAGATCTAACGAGGGAAGTGTAATCGTTTTCTGGCTGTAACATAATTTTCTGGGGGAACTTTTGACGCCACACAAGAGATGTTATTTTTCGTAACCAATCTCTGTTCGATTTTAAGGTATGGGGAGTCAAACCGAACTAAAAATAATCATTTTTAACAAGAAAAAATAAAATGTTCGCATGATCTATTAAAATTGTTATTGTGCGGGAAAACGATAGTCTTCCTTCGACAGATTTTTGTGTGAGACAACCCCTATCAAAATGTTCTTGTGCTTGACCATGCTTTCTCTTCCAAAAAGTGATGAGAGTGACGAGAGAGGGACAAACCTGCGCAACCAGTTGTTCGAGGGGTACTTCGAGTGCTCGGGAATATGCTTTTGATGGGCCTTCCCAGAGGGCTTCAGCCCTAGGAAAATATAAGCTTTCGATATAATAATGGCACTTCGGATCCTCGATATAAGCTTTCAAGGAATACTTTCGAGCTCTCATCAGGTTCCGAGGACTTCCAAGCTCTCGAGAGAGCGAGGGCTCATAAGTCCCGAACATCTCTATTCGACGGTTCAAAATTTTTCTCGAGGGCTCGCTACCTATCCAAAATCCGCGGGCTCGAAATCGACACTCCTCGAAAGCTTATATCGAGGGTCCGAAGTGCCATTTTCCGAGGGTTCGAGCCCTCGGCGAGAGCCTATTTTCGAGTACTCGCCGCAACCCTCGGACGACTTTTTTCATCTGCATGGATGAATGAGAGAACAACAAAAACAATATGAACATTTTTTTCAAACTGTTTCTGACAGACTTTTTATCTAAGAACATGTTCCTGAAAGATGTATTCGATATTTCAAACGGTTTCATTCTATAAAGATAAAATATATTTGGTTAAAGAAGAGACATTAAAACTTGAACTGGCTCTTATATTCGTTTTATTCTTAAAACAGCACCACCTAGACAACAGTTTTTTTTCAGTGCTGATGCTGTTATTTCTCCTTGTACGAATCCTCTTTCCAAATAACAACACGCATGCGTTGATCGATTCATAATACCAGTGTTAATAATCTAAATTGTTGTTTTACCTGAACGAGTTTTTTGAAGATTTTTTAAACTTTGAGCTACTATTTGATCAGTACGGTTTTCTTCAATAATACTGATATAGGATGTAGTTGATATTAGCGAAATAAAAGCTGTATGATTTAAATTCGCGATCGAATCAGTTGTTATTTTCACTGTCGCAGAAGTTGTTATAGACGAGGTAGTTATATTTACACTATGTTGATTAATTTGTTTTGGTATAAAAATCGATAATGTTTTCAATTCAATCGGCACATTTAAAATTAATGTTGAAAAATTGTTATTATTATTAGAGATGTTCGTATTCGACGTTGTATTAGAAAAAGATGAATTTAGTAATAAAACTTCTTGCGTGGTATCTAAATAAATGAGAAAACATAGTTCGATCTTTAAAAGACTAATAGAAACGCACTTGTTGTCCGCGCACTGGTACTTGGAGTAATTGTTGCTCTGTACCCTGTTGTGTTTGTTAATAAAATTTCGTTTTTAATCTTTGTTGTTGATCGATGATGATGATGTGACTGTTTTGGGGCGTACGTTATCACTTTCCTGAATGTTATTATTGATGCATTCGATATTTTTATTGTTGTTGTTGTTGTTGTTGTTGTCGTTGTTTTTGTAGTACTAATGATAGTAGTAGGAGTTTCTTTCGTTGTTAATGATGTTTTCATTTGACGATATATTTGTTCTAAATTTCGACTATGATAAAGATTTAAATCAAATATTGGCGCTGAGCTTGTACTTGGTATTAATATTGTTACTGGTTTTCTTCTTGGTTTAACAGAGCGTTGACGACTCGTTTTTACTGTTGTTGTAGTTGATGATGAATAATTAGCTATGGGCGACAATGAACTATTCGGCAGAGAATATAGAGATGTAATCATCATTCGAGACGTTGTTGTCAAGTTTATCGGATGAACGATGTCGAAGAAATGATACAAACCAAATAATAAATAAAAGATAAATTTATACATTGAGACCAATCATGCATTCAATCTAAACAAAAACAGGCGAATAACCTAAATAAGATGAGTATTTAACATTGAGGAGTATAGAAAATACAAGAAAACAAAGAACATTGAATAAGACTCAAGATGTATTAAAATTAGAAATGACTGAGAGTTCATATGTTTAACTTCGATCATCAGTTAGGACTGTAATCAACATATTTTATGAAAAATGTGTGCGATCGAAGCTTGAAGCTGCATTTCATCGAAGTTATGTAGTTTATTCATATGTTGACCAACTGCTCCAAATGAAATTGATCATTCGAGTTTATTACGCGTATTTTTAAAGCCTTATTTATACGTTTGAAAATGTTCATGTTAATTTTTCTTCATGAGCTATACGTAAACGTTTCAGTTTTCAAACAAACAAATCAAAGCTCATCCTGATCAAATAATTTGTCATACACGTCCATATTATAAATAAATTATACACTTTTTTTTTAATATTCTCTTCTTTTTTCTTTTCATAGCATAAATTAATTATTATGTGTAAGAGAGCAACAAGGGATCAAAACTTTATCTAAATATTGACCATAATATTATAAATTTAAAAGATATAGGTGAGATTGTGAAAAAGAAAAAGAGACATAAACAACATAAGTTAATAATAATAGAAAACTTGATGTTCAAGGTTAATGTTCAATAGAGAAAAAATAATAACACATATCAAACAAGTCCAGCGTGCATGTATAACGATCGTCTACCATAGTTGTTTTTACATCTTGCTGTGACTTTTTTCTTCTTTTTAAGATGAATAAATTACATAAAACTTACCAGCAGCAATTCTTCTAACAGTAGGTAAAACGATAACTGACGATGGTATTCTAACACCAAACATATTCAAATAACAATAATTTCACTGCTGAACAAGAACAACATTCATCTGTCAATTGTCTAGAACAAAAATAAGAAGAGATTCCAACTGTGTTCAATTGTCCAAGTAATTAGGACGAATATACACATTTACACACATATATATAGGTCAAATCTATAGAACTATAGCTGAATTCTAACGAATAACAAACTATTAATAACTATACGATTTCACGAGGTTTATTCTTTTTCCTTTTTGTCTATAGGGCAATTTCAGCTTTTTATCGTGATTAAGATTAGCTGTTTTTTTTGATCTTTTAACTTACATCACACATCTCTTACTATAACTGTCTTAGGCTATGACGTACTCATACTAAAGGCGCAGCGTTGCAGAAATGCCAATATTGCGATGAAATGTTGGCATTAAGATCAACGTGTGGTCCAATAGTCCATACTGTCTACTCTTAGAAGTAATATTACTTTCGACAATACCAAAGATTTCTGAGATTTCTCAAAAAAAAAGTCTGATTGTTCAATAAGAATATGTATTCAACCGAGGCTTCTTAATTAACATCACTTTTTATAATTAAAGAAATAAAAATGATCTCACTTTATTAAAATATGGATTCTTAATCTAGTTGTTAGTGTATTTAATAGTACCTGATACGACACCTCTTCCTTATTAAATCATACAGCATAAACAACTAACTTTATGCTGAATTCATCCCATGTACAAATACCGTAGCTTTGATAAAATAGTTTTGGCGACGTTCTAAATGTACCATCTACATTCCAGTGTGGATTAGCACTGAGAATTTGTAATGATGGTGGTGATAAAAAATGCAAAACTGGATAAGGGGCTGGATTGTTACAAAGTAAAACACAATGTATGATACAAGAAAAAACTTTTGTTGAACGTAGACATTTCAATACAATGTTTTAGACTTTCACTTCATTCTAAGTATTTTATACAATTTTTATTATTATACAGTTTAGGAATCTATATTTTATTAAAATAGGAACTACAAGCTCGTTTTCCAAACTGGGATCACTTTTCAAAATTGATAGGATATGCTATTTCCAAACTGAGATCATTTTTATTTCTTTGATTATAAAAAGTGATCTCAATTAAGAATGAGCCATATTCAACACGTCTTATTTTTATTTCAATTTATAATACTCTATCTTGATAATCATTTTGCTTATTATGTTTTCCTCACTATAAATTGTCAATTACATCTGATGTTTTACTGCAATGTCAAGTCTCAAGCATATTACCCTGTTCGATATTGAAAATTCTTATGTTCAATTTTTTGTTAAATATCTCTATCATGGCTCAGTGTGTTTCTCACTCAAATCCACTACTGTTATCTTTTGACTCTAAATTTCTGAATCGCCTTCGATGGCTGGACCTTTTACTTGAGAGAAAAATTTCTGAATAACTTTATATCACTTTTATGGATTTTCGGTTTGTTATACCTATTAAAACTGAACGAAGCAAATCTAAAAAGCAGACTATAGAGTCTTTTAGCTATATGTATTCGCTTCGACCAATCGACGTTCTTCAGCATATATCTGAAGAAAATATTTGGTGAAATATAAACAATCTCATTTTCTCCACTGTTATTATGGTATCTCATAAGCTATAGAAACAAAGATTTCAGATAAAATTTCATATTCTCCTTTGATATAGCTAACGTTCGCTGAAAAGTTTAGAGCAGATCTGATTTATAATCTCTATGACAGAGATTTTAGCCTTGCTATCTGTGTTTCTCTGCTAACATGTGCTATTTTCCTGAAAATGTCAATGAAAGATTTTTTTTAGTCAGACTTCGTTAAGTCGATTTAAAATGCAAAAGTGTTTCTCGAGCACGGTTCATACGAGTTGAGTTAAAAATTTTGACAAAATTGACAGTTAGATATTAAATGAGCGCGCACGTATATTGGCATTTTAGCATATTCAAACTAATTAAGATCTGTGGGTGCGGTGCAACGATGATTTTCCGATTATCGCTTTATTTTATAAAATCCACTTTTATATACATACTGCGCATTTTCCCACTTTCGTCTCAGAAAGTCTTTCCTTCCTACACGACCTACAAGGAAAAAGACCAATCAATAGGACTAGAATAAGGTAATGGACTTTGGTCTAATAGACTAGTGATGCAGGTCGTTTGGATTACGAATAAAATCAAGAAAAATGGAAAAAACACTACTAGTTAAGTTACTTGAACTAACGTGATATAACCCGTTAAATCAATTAGATGTGTAAACGAATTCCATTTAGAAATCGAAAAATGGACAGGAGATTAACCCATTCACATTGATCTATTGAAATTTAACAGATTTAATCGCATAAAAATATTTTTTATTTAAATACGTTCACGCGACCAATCGAGTGAAAAATTATTGATTAGGATATGGTTATATTTATAAGTTTAAGCTCTGCTATAAATATAAAAGGCGTGGAAAAAATTCAGACAATACACAAGTTCTATTTCGATTTTTAATAACTCTATACGCTTGTAATTTATTCAAAGCTAATGTTTAAATTACCATAACCACTTCCGATAAAACGTTTTCTAAACGTGGTAAGATATTTTTTTCATACTCGACTCTTTTAGACGATAACGTTGAGCTATCGTTGATAAATTTAAAATTAAATTTTTAAAGCGAGAAACATTATATGGATCAACAATAATAAAAATGAACAATGAATGATTGTAGTGTTGTATGAAAACACATCTACACATTTGATGAAAAAGAAAATAAAAAATAACATTGCTTTTTCTCTATCTCTCTCTTTATTAGGTCAATGAGAAGAAAATAAGGACAGTGATAAAATAATAAATAAATGACACATGTACACATCATTCACCAAACATATACACCTAAACGATCTTCAAGATACCAAACTTAGATTACATAAACAAATATCTCTTGAGAAATCGAATTAAAACATAGTGTTTGCTGTTTCGAATTTCGGCTGTCGGAGTTAGTTTTACAATACGGCTTTCGATGGGTACTCTATCATATCAAACGAAACCATAAACCTGAACGATGACAACAAATAAACGTCAATGTGCTTAGTCTTTTTCTCCAGACAACCGACTTTTTGAACCATTTGTGTTTTATGACTTGTTTTCAAAAAAATATAGCGAGCCGAAGTTCTATACTTTCATTTAATAGCTTAATTATGTTAGTTTTTTTTTTGTCAACTTAACTTGGTTTGTTTACTGTAAAATGTTAACAACTGTCAAGTCAAACAAAAGAAAAAGAGGTCATAAAACAGTTCCGAAATAACAACGCAAAATAATTGCATCACGCACACATACACTGTGTTACACGAATGTCAAAATACTGATCTAACTATAAGACTCTGTTGTGGTTTGTACATTACATGACAAGTCAGATTACTATTATTGTGTATCAACGTCGTTTTACAATCGCTTTTACCTTCACTCATTACGGTACATTTGACAACTTTGTCAAACAATAGGTTCTGTTTGTTCAAAAAAATGTTATGAATAGATTCTTAACATCGTATCAAACGTGTACTGTAAGCGTAAAAAGCTTTTTGTTATACCCATTTTTTGAATATGAATACTTGACCTGTGTTCTGTACCATTAGATGTTACTTTTTCTTATTTTTTTTCTGTTTTACTTCATTTTCTATTTTATTTTCTATTTGTAATTTTATCTCCAAAAACTTTAGCCTTACAAATTATTCGAATAACTATGAAAATATCTTTCAGATCTCTTTTTAAATCATATATCTTTTTCGTCTAATCAGAAGAAATTGATATATTATCACAAAAATTGAATCGATATGATAACGTTTGATTTTCCATTCCAACAGTTATCAACTACTTAACATTTACATCCTATATTTTCGTGGTACAAATTATTTTTTTCTGGTGAAAACAAGATAAAATAAGTTACTGAAGACCAATCAATCATTTTTTTAGCATATTGCTAGGATATCATAAGAAGTTTGACACTGTGACACCTCACAAAAATGAAAACAAAATACAACGAAAAAAACGAGCCAAGAAAGAGATATGAAA